ATTCCCATGAGAACCCAGGCCTGATGGCAAAACCAAGTTTTCAGGGCCCTCCGGAAGGCCAGTAGGGTCAGGGCCAATCTCACCTCAGTGGGGATGATGTTCCAAGGTTTTTCATATTTCTGATTGCAAAATGATTAAAAATTGCACCACTGAATTTTTATACTTTGTGCTGATGAATTTTGGAGGCTGTTTGAGCTGTAGTGGTTGCAGGTAGAGGCTTTCTCCACATGCTTCTGTGTTTCTTTTATAGGGCCTTTTCCTGAATATATAAACCTAGGTCAACCTAGGAGGAAGGCCAATTACAAAGAAAACAAAATTGAACCAGCTCTTGTCTGCAGATATATTCATGCACATGCAAGCACATACACATGTACATAAATAAACACACACATAGACATGCACAGCATTCCTTGCACTGAGTTAACTGCCAGTTATTTCAAAGCAGCCAAGAATGTACTGGGAATTGCTCTTGGCCTGGTGCTAGTGCCTTCGGTTAACAGCTTCCCTCTCTTTTTCCTTAGTAACCGTGTGTTTACTGAAGGGACTTGCAAGTTGCTGAATCTGGTGGTGTCTGACTTGGTGGACGAAGACTTGGTGCTAAATCGGAGGCAGCAGGCTGCCTCAGCCCTCTTGTTTGGCATGGTGGCCTTGGTAACTAAACCAGGCCAGACCTTTGCCCCCTTGATTGGCACCTGGCTGCTCTCTGCTTATACTGGTAGGTGAAGTGCCAGATGGGGTATCAGAGAAGGGTAACTGATAGCTTTTCTGATTGGGCAGGTAACTACCAACAACAGCAATAACAATATTCATTGTTTGCTTTTAATTGTCAGCTTATCAGTTACAAATCTTTTTTTCTTTGAGAATATGTCTGGGAAAGAAGCAGCACAGTGGTACCTCTTTTTAAGGTTGTCCTAGATTTTGTTCCTGAACTGTGAATCTACAGAAGAAAGAAACCTCTTCCTTTCAGTGCTGCAGTGGTCCATGCTTTGCTTTTCCAGATACCACACAGGAGAGCTTTGGGCTTGAAACAGCAAGCTAGGATAGTTTGTTCATGAATAAATCTCATATCCAGTAGGTGCCCCCAAAAGGAATGGAGGTTTTCTACCACTAAATCTGCTTGATGGAAAAGATTTCAATCTAATCTTTTAAAGGTGGAAAGATTCTTGTTAAGAGAATTTTTTTTTCCAGTTTTGCTCAGATCACTTCATGTAGTGAAATACTTGTATTTCTACTGAAGGATCTTCCTGAGAAGTGCAGTTGCAGTACAAAAGTGAACTGAGTCCCCAGCCCCACCGCCCTGCTGAAGAGTTGAAGTGTCACTTGGCCCTTATTGCTGCACTTTGTTTTACTATTTTGCTAAAAAGAGAGAAGGAAATCAGTTGTGGAACAGGCAGGGCGTTCCTTATGGTTGGTTGATCAGGAGGGACAGCTCTGTTACTCTTTGCTCTGTGAATCATACAGTCTTACAAAGAAGTAAATGGGCCTATCCCAGTAATGTCCTGCTTATAAATACTGAGAGCTTGTTCAAGCCTGATTTCATTATTATTACAAAACCAGATAATGGAGGCATCAGGTGGGCTGTTCATCTGGAAGTGCCTTTAATACAATGGGGAAAGAAATGAAGAAATGGTTTTCAGTAGAAATTATGATGGCAAGATCAAAATTAGACCCTCTCAATTCTTGAAATAATTTTAATCTTTCTTAACCGTCTCTCTTGTTGACCCAGGTTATGACATTTTTCAACGGGATCCCTTGAGCAGTATAGTGAGTGCCCAGCCAAGGTTGGCTTCCAGTGTAGCCTGGAAATCTACACTACGCCAGGGCTGCTTCTACCTCCTCGTTTTTGTCCCCATGACCTGTGCTTTACTGCAGCTCCTCACCTGGTCACAATTCAACTTGCATGGCAGACGCCTTCAGACAGTGAAATCTCAGCGTCAGGCTTTTACAGAGAGTCACTCTCGAGAAATCAAGACTATTTAATTGCGAGTGAAGATCACAGCAAGCAGTATTTTCCCATTGTCAGTAACTGCATGACTCATTTAAAAAGGAAAGAGTGGGAATAAAAAGAATTGCTACATCTTCTTCAGATCAGCATCGGCTAGTGGAAGATAAATGGAAGCTTTTGAATTATCTTGAATTTCCTGTGAGTCTGGCCAAGGTCTGGTCAGCCTTGTAGAATTCTTAGAGACTTGAAAATTTGTATCTTCTGTATCCAAAGTTGTCCAGAAAAAGTGATCATCTCATATTTTTAAAAGTCTTTTGTCAATTACTTGCTGATCCTATTGATACTAATTCATGTCCAGGCTTGGGAGCTAAGCAGTCCAATTAAAAATTATGCTTATTAATAAGGGGGGATAGAGTCGAGTAACTTAGCAACCTTCTGGTCTTTGTATCCCCTCCTCCAGATACTGTTTACAGCTTTGCCACAGGTGACAGGTAGGATTCACATATTCCATTATCTCTATTTTTTGCATTGGATTGGTGGTCAAGTTTGATTTAGCTGAATACAGCTGAAATAGATGTAACTCAATGATTTCCCATTGTGGACAACAGGGTACTCGGTTTCTATAAAACAGCTTTTCTGAAACAGTCAACATTCATCCTTTTCAAGAGAATGAGTGCACTGTATTCCCACTCATAGCTTCAAGATAGAAATTTGTTTTAAAAAGGCGAGTCCTGGAGGTGGATGCAGTTGTATTTGAAGTCGTGCATTTTCAGTCTGTTCTGGAGTCCTAATGCTTATGCTGGAAATCCACTTTCCCCTGTTCTGCATAAAGGTAAGGGCTAGAGTGGTCCGTGCATATCTACAGGATATAGATATACAGCTGGCTGGGGAATTCTGGGAGTTGAAGTTCACACATCTTAAAGTTGCTCAGGTTGAGAAACACTGGCCTAGACAGAAATAGCCTTGATTTCTCTAGATGTTTTGGGCTACATTTCCCATAATTCCTGATCACAATCCATGTTATCTGAGGATAATGGCATTTTAGTCTAAAATGTCTGGAGGGCACCAAGTGCATACCCTTGCCTTCCGTTATGTGCAATGGCTGTAAGAGAGGTTCATCGTGAAATTCCAGTAGGCAACTAATAGTATTAGCTGACCAACTCTGTTCTACCTCTGCAGTATGGGAGGGCAAGCCAAAAATCTGTTGGTCTGCTCTTTTCCTGTTTGCATCTTTTATTGATCAGTCATTGGCAAAAGAAGCTAGGCAAATCCCAACGTTTTCTGGAATCATTCAAAAATCCAGTGCTGTTTTTGTTTTTAGGGAACAGAGAAATCTGTTTCCTCTGCAAATTGAACCAGAAATGCTACTGGTTGAATAGGACACCCTTGCATTCAGGGGCCTGTAATTTGGCATAAAATGATACTGCAAAACCAGCTGCAGAACTCCAAGTAGCACTTTTAGAGTGAAAATCTGCAGTGGGAAATGGAAGAAAAATGTTGCATCCAACATTTTTGGCTGTTGGTTGCTATAGTAAAGATAAAACAGTTCACATCACTGTAGGACCAAGTCACATCCTCCTTTGTGTGTGCCAAGTATCACTCACCTTGTTTAGGCAGTAGCCTTAGCTACTGCAACTGCCATTTTGCCTTCAAAATAGAAATTGGGATGATGAAATGTTTACAGCTTTTGTATTGTTGGATGGCTTCACTAATTTATTGCTCTCAATTTATATGCTAATTGCATTGATTCTCATTTCATTAAACATCCTTTTTTAAATCTATTTTTTGTGTGTAATGGTCTTGATTTGGCAGCTAGGTGGTGGTTAACATTGAGATGACTTTCTAAGAAAGTACTGTACGTTGTTCTCATCTCAGGCTATTGGCTGGTTTCACCAAATCATGCTAATGTATAAATACTGTAAGAGTATACAAACACAAATGATGGGATTAAGACAATATACTTAGTATGAGCTAGGCTTAAGCTTTTCTCTCATTATTATAGATGTAAGAGAAGTCACAATTACCTACTAGGAAATGTGGGACCTTCTTCTCCATTTCCTATTATTTGGCCCTGATCTATTTTTCAGGGCACTAAGGACTATTGGTAGGCAGCATCCTTTTCCCAAGATCAACATCAAAGCAAAAGTTGAAAGCGAGAGAAAGAAAACCAGCTGTCTTTCTATATCAACCAGGAATTTTGTGTGTGTCCCCTTTGAGAAATTTTACATTTCCTTTCTATCGAAAAAGGGAAAACGAACCCAGTGGAGCTTGTGTCTGCTTTCCTTTTCTCCATTCCTTTTCTGAATGTAAGCCTGCATGCCAGACTAGAGGCCCAGAGGCACAATCCACATCCCCAGAGTAGGCAGCTCTCTTTGTCACACACATTGACTCAGGTGTGCCGATTATGTTGCATCTTTTTTTTCAGTAAGCTTAATTTATCCAAGCAGAAGGATGAGCTGAATCCTTAGTCACCACACGCATTTATACTGCATGGCCAAGCAATGGTGCTGTAGGATTTTCCCTGTCTGCATTTTGACCCTTAAATTGCCACAAAACCAACATCGAGAGTGTGAACCCTCTTATATAGCAGGGTTAGAAGGTGGACGCCAGCTGAGGTGCTCCCCTGGAATACAGGTGGTGGCAGAAGGATCAATCAAGCCGCTACCCCCGGAGTGTGAAGACCCAGAGGATTCTGGGAGAAGTGTTGGGACATCCAGCTTTCCACTCTGCAGGCTTCACACATCCACTACACTTGCATTATTATTTTCTAGATTTAGAACCTGTATTATCCTTAAGAGCTGAATGTGGTATAAATAGTACCCCAGTTTAGTCTGGATTGGGCTGAGAAGTAATTACTGGCCCAAAATAATCCAGTGGGCTTCCATGGTGAGAATGGATATGAACCTGGGTCCTTGCCACC